AGCACCAAAAGCAACCTTGCCCATTATCCTGTTCTTTTCCTCATGGTAGGTTACTTTCTGATATACGTTGTATCAGTGGCTCTCAACAAGGCAGGATTTTACCCCTGGAAGAAATATGACAACATATGGAGACATTTTTCATTGTCACCACTTGGTGGAGGAGGGTGCTGTTAGTAAATGGTGAACAGAGGCATGGGATGCTGCTAAATATTTTGTAGTTTACAGGACAGTCCTCCACAATAAAGATTTATCTGGCCCAAAATATCAGCATTGCAGAGGCTGAAAACACTATTAAATTTACCTTTTATGCTCATTCTGTTTTTCTCTCTGGTAGAATATAAGCTGCATGAGAACAAAGATTTCCTTCTTTTTTTAGTAAGGACCTCAGTATTGGTTCAATGGTATTAAATGTTAAATGATTAAATGATCTACCTCAGATTTAAAAAATTATGTTGACCTTAACATTAAAGAAATTTAAAGGAAATAATTCCTCACTGCTAACATGTGTCCATTTTCTCTTTGAGCCTTTGTCCTGTAGCTATCTCATTGGTTCTTGTTACATATACATTTTATATTGTGTTACAGAGCTTTCAAAATTATAGACCTGTATAAAAAGCCATCTACTGGGCCCGGCGCGGTGGCTCAGTCCTGTAATCCTAGCACTTTGGGAGGCCGAGGCGGGTGGATCACGAGGTCAAGAGATCGAGACCATCCTGATCAACATGGTGAAACCCCGTCTCTACTAAAAATGCAAAAAATTAGCTGGGTATGGTGGCGCATGCCTGTAATCCCGGCTACTCAGGAGGCTGAGGCAAGGAGAATTGCCTGAACCCAGGAGGCGGAGGTTGCGGCGAGCCGAGATCGCGCCATTGCACTCCAGCCTGGGTAACAAGAGCGAAACTCCGTCTCAAAAAAAAAAAAAAAAAAAAAAAAGCCATCTACTTTACCTACTGTGATGGTTAATCCTGTCATCTTGACTGGATTGAAGGTTGCAAAGTATTGTGCCTGAGTGTATCTGTGAGGGTATTGCTAAAGGAGATTAATATTTGAGTCAGTGGACTGGGAGAGGCAGACCCACCCTCAATCTGGGTGGGAACCATCTAGTCAGCTGCCAGAGCCAGAGCGTGGCTAGAATAAAAGTAGACAGAAGAATGTGGAAGGATGAGAGTGCCCGAGTCTTCTGGACTCCATCTTTCTCCCGTGTTCGATGCTTTCTGCCCCCGAACAGAAAGTTCTTTAGCTTTTGGACTCTTGGACCTACACCAGTGGTTTGCCAGGGGCTCTCCGGCCTTTGGCCACAGACTGAAGGCTGCACGGTCAGCTTCCCTACTTTTGAGGTGTGGGGACTCAGACTGGCTTCTTTGCTTCTCAGCTTGCAGTCAGCCTAGTGTGAGACTTTACCTTGTGATCCTGTGAGTCAATACACCTTAATAAATTCCCTTTCATATATACGTATATCCTATTAGTCCCGTCCCTCCAGAAATACACCTACCATTTAGTTTGTTTATCGTGACTATGGTTGTGTGGTTTGGGAAGTGATAAACCTATAGAAGGTTTTGAATCTAACACAACTTTGAGAAAAGTGCAACTCAGTCAAGGGTACTGTTACCTGCAAGGTTAGCAGCTTCAATTGTTGAATTTCTCTGTTTTAGATCAAATTCTGCTGGTACAGAAATGACAGCATTGGCAACTGGCATTCCAAGATATTCCTCTGCCATTTCCTTTAACTTCAACAATAGTCGAGAGCCAACATATTCTGGGGACACTGTGATGGTCTCATTACTTGTCACAGAAAACTCAACCATTCCATTTTTGTTTAAAACCTGCAAAGAGGATTTGCAAATAAGTAAATAAATAAAAAAGTATGTGTGTATATATATATATATATGTATAAGACAGAGATACAGACAAACATATATACATAAATACTAGACCTAATGAAAACTTACCTTTATCTTTACAAAATCAAAAATATATTTGTAATCTATCCAGTATATTCACCAAGATTAGAACTTATTAAATATTATACCTTAAAATCTATAAAATGAATCCATATTAGTTTTTTTTATTTTTTAAGATGGAGTCTTGCTCTGTTGCCCAGGCTGGAGTGCAGTGGTGTGATCTCAGCTCACCACATCCTCTGTCTCCCAGGTTCAAGAAATTCTCCTCCCTCAACCTCATGAGTAGCTGGGACTACAGGTGCAAGCCACCATGCTCAGCTAATTTTTGTATTTTTGGTAGAGACGGGGTTTCATGATGTTGGTCAGGCTGGTCTTGAACTCCTGACCTCAGGTAATCTGCCCAACTCAGTCTCCCAAAGGGCTGGGATTACAGGTGTGAGCCACTGTGCCTGGCCTATACTAGTTTTTAATAACAACAGAATAAAATTCATCACTAAGCATATTAACTAGAACGCACAAGATCCTCAATATATATTTGCTGAATAAATGAAAGAATAAATGACAAAATGTAAGAAACAGAAGTTGCTCATTCAAATATGTAACTCAAGATCTTCTCCCTTTTTTTCCCAAATTACTCATTTCTAAGAGTAATGGATAGTTGAATCTTCTAGTGCATATTAACAAGAATAATTTTAGTACATCATTATGTTCTCTTTATATGTACACAAATATGAACACATACACACACAGATGATCTATCTATGGTACACAGGGCTTCATCAACCTTCCTGCTACCCTGAAAGAGCTAAGCAGACATGCTGAGGATGTGAGAGCAAGAAAATGGTAAGGTCTTAAGCATCTGTTACCATTATGGAATCAGTGATTAACTCATCCAAGAGCTGCTGTGGAATTTGTTATGTAAGATAACAGAACTTTCCTGTATTAATTGATTAAGCTAGAAGAGACAGAATGTTTGTGAGATGAAGCCGAAGCATTAACTGAAAGAGTACACTAAAATTAATACAGATTTTTGATTAATCACTTACCTTAAATGGATATCTACCAATTTCAGCCTCCAGCTCCTCTGGGGTAAAAATCTTGCCTATGAATCTTTTGGCATCATATATTGTGTTTTGAGGATTTGAATCTGCCAGCTCTACGCTTTCATACCCCACATATACATCATTGTCGGTAAAGGACACCATGCTGGGTATGCTGATATGCCCATTTTCATCTGGAATCACCTTTACTTTTCCTGTGCCAGGAAAAAATACCCCAACGGAACAATAGGTGGTGCCAAGATCAATGCCAATCACTTTAGGAGTAGGCAATGGTAAATACTGCTGTGCCAAATAGCCAGCCAACAGGAGAGTCAAAACAGCTGATCCTGAAATACAGGAAAATTAAAAGATGTATTTTATCAAACTAGTACAATGTGCTAAATTACTGTAGCAAAGACCCTTTAATATCACTCCTTGAAACAAAGCTAAAAAGATATATATCAAAATTTGGTATAGGACTACTGATAACACTACTCTCAGGAGGTTTTTCAAAATGTAAATTATAAAATACAATTTAAAATGAAGTTAACAACACAAACAACAAAAACGCTCTATAACTGTATGTCTGTATCATTCTCTAATGGGTGAATGAAGAAATAAAATGTAAAAATATTTCAAAATTATTTGTACAGATTGTGACAGGAAACAACATTTATCTGGAGCAAAAGCCAGATATAATCTAATATTATTGATCAATTAATATTTAGATTTTACAGCTTTATAAACAGCTTCAATTACTTTTTTAAACTCCACTATTAAAATTCTCACAACAAAACCTTTATTATTGTAAGGTTAAAACTCTCTCCTCGTATCTCACTTTCTTCTCCCTTTCAAAAGGATGAAATGAATAAATTGGATAAAATAATTCTGAAAGTTGCAAAGGTATTAAAACTGTCACTTCATAACATAGTTAACTTTTTATGTATTTAAGTATGAACTAGGGCCATCCTTCTTGCAATGATAATATTTAGGGGAGAAGAAACATAAAAGTGGGCAACCCTGACGACAACATCTATGAATGCTTCTTGAAGACAAGTTTTGTTCACTATCCCCCAGACCAGGAATAGGAGATGCTCAACAAATACTAATTAAAAAAAAAAAAAAAGAGTAGGAACAAATGACACGCAGATTGTAAACATAGGTGAAGAAAGATTCCCCTTTGGATTCTGAATTAATTTCGTATTTGGTATCAGAAGGCTGTGTTATATACCTGTGTCCACTCATATTACAAAGGACCCAAAGCGTCAATTTTCAGATCTCCATTTTACTGATTGTTAGCTCATTCTGATCAACACATAACTCAAAGAAATAAAACCAAATGCGAATCCTATTTTCCCCTTCCAGCTACGGGCAACATTTCAGAAGCATTTCATCACCTTCGAGTCGCTGGATGGGGGTGTGTGGGGGTGGGGGATTGGTAATTCCGAACCCGATTTGATAGGAAAAGCATCGATCGAGTTATTCATCAGAGTCCTGAATCCCTCCAAAATCAGCAACCCAAGAGCCGACAGCTCCGGATGCAGCTCCTCCCCCTTCCTCCACAAAGGGGTCCTGGAGGTGCACGTTCTCGCAGCCTTCCACAGCTTGCTCCAATTCAACAGGCAATTCAAAACCCTAGGTGCTGTTAAAAGGAACGCTTCCCTAAGTCTGACGTCGCTGGGATGACACAGCTGGTCGCCGCTTACCCTACCTAGGCCGGCCGGGGCCGGGGCCCTCCAAGAGGCGTCCCCACCCCCATTCGCTCCGAACAGCCGAAAACCGCCTCTAAGTCACCTTTGCGATTCCCGTCCCGCCGATCCAGCAGGATCCAGGAGGTGAGCCAACTACCCCTGCCCACGCTGGCATCCTCAGGCCGCCTCTACGCCCTCAAGAGCAACAAGACCCCGCGGGAACTCACCTAAGATCGTCATCTCTCTGGCCATCACAGTCCCGCCGAACTGGCTTGGGATGACTATACCAGACGTGAGGCACCGCCCCCACGCCACCCGGCAGTCCCGCAGACCCCTGGGAAATGTAGTCCGCTTGCTTTGAGGCAATCGGAGAAGCTACCGCTCTGACCAAAGCAAGGACTTCATCTACCGTGAGGGCGCGGGGTAAAGAGCCTCCATTCAACCGCTGCCGGTGACGACTGAGCTGCCTTCCCACGCACTGCCGCCTGGACCAGTCAAGCTGAGGGGTAGGAGCGCCGTGGCGAGGGAAAAGCGTTTGTAATCAAACCTGTTGTCCCGCGAGCCTACTTGAGAAAAACACTCTATTTTTTAGCCCCCTCCCGCGCTCTGCATTCGGGGAAGCGTAGTTCCGGCCTTCCTCTTTCCGCGGGAGGTAATGAAAGGGAGGATGAGAACCGTTCCTTATCGCTGTCTGTGGTTGCGCCCCTAATCAGGTCCAGGATTCGAGTTTGTGTTCTTTCGTTTCAATTCCTTTTAAAGCGCATTCCTTTGCCTGAGATCTAGCTTCTCGATGGCGTTCCTATAGCCTCCCCACGCCCCAGCCATCCTCCTTAGAAGGGTCCCTGTCGCAGTTTGGGGCCCAAGGGAAGTGGGTTTTGACGTTTCTGCTCGCAGCGCTGGGAACAGCCCTGAAACTCCAGTGACCCTCAGTCCTCTGCCTTTGTTTTGGGATAAATGAATTCAAGCATTCTTCAGTCAATTCGATTTATTCAAGAGAGCAGGAACACATTTTCTCTATGCTAACACTGAAGTGGGCAATTAAAAACAAAGAAAAAAAAAAACGAAATTAAAAAGAAAACCCTTAGCTCTATCTTCAAGTGAGGTTTAAGTGGCCAGAATTGACCTTGTGGACAAGTCCTGTAATGTGACGGCCATTTTAGGAAACTTGTGACATGTTCAGGTTCTAGTCTGCAGTGACATTTTTCTCATATCTTGGTCACTGGCCGCATTTAATGGCTCCTCTGAGAGTGGTTTTGCCATTTTTGCTGTTAGAGTTCACGACAGGTAAGATCCTGGAAAACTGAATCTTATAAGATCCTGATTTGTTCAAGAAGCAGATAAAGATAATGTGATTTCAGAGTAGAAGGCCTTTAGAATTAAGGTTGAACTTAATAGGTTGTATTCATTTTCTATTTCTGCCTTAACAAATTACCACAAATTTAGTGTCTTAAGCCAACACAAGTTTATTGTTTTTACAGTTCTGTATATCAGAAACCTGGTATGGCTCACACTGAAGTAAAATCAAGTTGTTAGCAAAGCTGCATTCCTTTCTGGAGGTTCTAGAGGAGAATCCATTTCCTGCTAATTTGAGTTATTGGCAGAATTCATTTTCTTGCAGTTGCAGGGCTCAGGTCGTCATTTTCTTGCTGGCTGTAACCTGAGAGCTGTTTCCAGTTTCTGAGGCCATACACATTTCTTAGCTCACAGACCCTCTTTCTCCATCTTCAAAGCCAGGAACAGTAGGTCAGGTCCTTCACAGAGGACATCTTTCTGCATTGCTCTTCCAAATCTTAGATGTCATGTGATTACATTGGACCTATCTAGTCAATTCAACATAGACTCCATTTCAAACCCTGTAAACTTCTCATATCTGCACAGTCCCTTTTGCCATGTAAGGTAACTATTCACAAATTCCAAGAATTTGAAGAGGCCTTTATTTTGCCTACTAAAATGGTTCTGCAACCCCTCAAATTCACATCTGACCACATAACAAAATGCAACATCCATCCACCGAAGTCCCATCCCATTATAACATTAACTCAAAGTCCAAAAGGTTCATCTATACTTCATCAGTTCAATAGTCTCAGATATAATTATCTAAATCAACTAAATCAGGTAGTAATTGATACCACTTATCCCTTCTTGTTTGCTTACAATCAGAGGGATAAGAATGCTGGTGAGACTATTCCAGCAAGGTTATAAAGAACAGAAAAGTCAAGGCATTGGGATTGGAAAGTAATCATTGTTATCATTCTCCAATGGTGACCAAGTTATTTGTTGTTGTTACAGTTATTGTTTGGTGTTATATATTAGAATCCATTGCAATTCTTCTTCTTGATACTTGGATTGTTTTAATTTTGGCTGATGGCAGCCTATTCAAAATTCGCTCATGAGTGCTTTTGACACAACTCTAATAAGCTTTACTTACTGCCTTGCTACCTGCTCTAAAAAGATGTCTGTGATCCCCTTATTTATTTTTTTATTTTTGTTTCATACTTATAATTAACTGTATGTCTAAGGAACCCTACTTTCTTTTATTAAGAAAGTGTAGTGTCTGGAGACCATGATTTGCATGCTAGGGGGCTATAATTTTAAGGATGTCAGTTCTCTTTATATATTTGAATTCAGTGAAATATCAAACATAATACCAGCAGGATATTTTATGACTTGACAAAGTGATAATCAAATTTATTTGGAATATTTAAGATAAGAATTTAATGAGCATATAGTCCTTTCACATGTTAAGTGACAAAATCACAAACTTAATACTACAGAGGAAATAGAAAATAGACCAGATAAGCTTAGCAGCACATGCTTGTAGTCCCAGCTACTTGGGAGGCTGAGGTGGAAGAATCACCTGAGCCCCGGATTTTGAACCCAGCCCGGGCAACACAGTGAGACCCTATTTCAAAGAAAGAAAAGAAAAGAAATAAAGAAAAATAAAATGGACCAAAGAAGAAAGTGACAATCTCTTCAAAATAAAGGGAACTTACATTATTCAACAAATGTAACAGGGCAATTAGTTATTTATAACTTTGAATGTAAAAGGGGATGTTATACCTTAACAGCAAAATAAATTATAAGTGGATAAAATGTTTAATTAAAAAATACAAGTAATTTTATTCATTAACTCAAGGATAGGAGAAGTCTTTGAAATTAAGACTTAAGACCTAGAAACAAAGCAAAACTAAACAGAAAGCATACATTTGGTTATGTAGAATTTAAAATTATGTAGAAGACAGAATTACTTATTTGAATTTATATGAAGTCAAAAGACAAATGACAAACTGAAGAAATACTAAACATACATGATGTACAAAAGATTTAATTCCTTACTTTATGAAGAGTTCCTTTAGAATATAAAGATGTACAACTCAATTGAAAAACAAGACAGGACATAGACAATAGAAAATAAAATAAAAATAACCAACAAACATGAAAATAAATTCTATCTTAATCACATTTAAATAAACATAAATCAGAATAATAACATGTTATTTCTTCCTATCTGTAATCAGTTGAATTGTGGCCCCCCTCCAAAAGAGATATGCTGGAGTTCTAAACTCCTGTACCTCAGAATGTGACTGTATTTGGAAATAAAGTTGTTGGATATATAATCTGATAATATGATGTCACACAGGAATAGAGTAGTCTCTTAATACAATATTACTGGTATCCTTATAAGAAAAGGGCCATATAAAGACACAGAAACACAAGGAAAATGTTATGTGATGACCAAGACAGTGATTGGAGTTATGTGCTTACAAGTCAGCGAACGTCAAAGATTGACAGCAAACCAGCAGAAGCTATAAAGAGACAATGAAGAGTTATCCTGCATATTTTAGAGGGAACGTGCCCAACTCATATTTTGATTTTGGACTTCTAATCTCTAAAATTGTGAGACAATAACATTTTGTTGTTTTCAAGCCATGCAGTTTGTGATAATTTGTTATGGCAGCCCTAGGAATCTTTATACTATCTTACTGGAAAAATATTTAAATAATGATAAGCAGTGCTAGTGAATGTCTTTTGCTCATGATAGGCCTGTTTGTGGAATACATTTTGAAAGAGTAATATTGATTAAATTGCAGGGCACATAGATTTGCATTACAGCCATGATTATAATGAATGGAATTACCTTTTCTCCACAGAGAGATGGAAAACAGCACAAAATTAAATGAAATAATAGTTTCAGACTTTGGAAACTATGCAGAGGAACACTGATCTCTGGGAGAAGGAGTTAAACCAGGTAAAGTCTATAGTCATCCTGTATTTCTATTGAGAGACCACTTGTAAGAACACAGTGTAGAGTCCCAAATAGAGCATTTGGCCTTGCCTTGTAGAGAAGATACATATCAGAGTTCAAGAGTTTTGGAAGGAGGCTGAAGTTACGGCAAAGGGCACTGAAGAGGTAAGTGCTATGCAGAACACCAGAAATCCCCAAGATATTGAGATATCTTTACTTCACACCATACACAAAAATTAACTTGAAATTGTCATAAATCTAAATGTAAGACTTCAAAGCTCAAACTACAAATTTATGGGAAACAGGATGGGAGAAGATATTTGTGATCTTCTTGTAGGCAAAGATTCCCTACATATGAAATAGAAAGCATGAATCATGAAAAAGTTGATAAACAGAATGTCAGTAACAGTAAAAATTTCTATTCTTTTTTTTTTTTTTTTAATTTTTTATTGGATTTTAGGTTTTGGGGTACACGAGCAGAGCATGCAAGACAGTTGTGTAGGTACACACATGGCAGTGTGCTTTGCTTTTCTTCTCCCCTTCACCCACATTTGGCATTTCTCCCCAGGCGATCCCTCCCCACCTCCCCATCCCACTGGCCCTCCCCTTTTCCCCCCAATAGACCCCAGTGTTTAGTACTCCCCTTTCTGTGTCCATGTGTTCTCATTTTTCATCACCCACCTATGAGTGAGAATATGCGGTGTTTCATTTTCTGTTCTTGTGTCAGTTTGCTGAGGATGATGTTCTCCAGATTCATCCATGTCCCTACAAACGACACAAACTCATCATTTCTGATTGCTGCATAATATTCCATGGTGTATATGTGCCACATTTTTCCAATCCAGTCTAATATCAGTGGGCATTTGGGTTGATTCCAGGTCTTTGCTATTGTAAACAGTGCTGCAATGAACATTCGTGTACATGTGTCCTTATAGTAGAACGATTTATAGTCTTTTGGATATATACCCAGTAATGGGATTGCTGGGTCAAATGGAATTTCTATTTCTAAGGCCTTGAGGAATCGCCACACTGTCTTCCACAATGGTTGAACTAATTTACACTCCCACCAACAGTGTAAAAGTGTTCCTTTTTCTCCACATCCTCTCCAGCATCTGTTGTCTCCAGATTTTTTAATGATCGCCATTCTAACTGGCGTGAGATGGTATCTCAATGTGGTTATGATTTGCATCTCTCTGATGACCAGTGACGATGAGCATTTTTTCATATGATTGTTGGCCTCATATATGTCTTCTTTCGTAAAGTATCTGTTCATATCCTTTGCCCACTTTTGAATGGGCTTGTTTGTTTTTTTCCTGTAAATCTGTTTGAATTCTTTGTAAATTCTGGATATCAGCCCTTTGTCAGATGGGTAAACTGCAAAAATTTTTTCCCATTCTGTTGGTTGCCGATCCACTCTAGTGACTGTTTCTTTTGCTGTGCAGAAGCTGTGGAGTTTCATTAGGTCCCATTTGTCTATTTTGGCTTTTGTTGCCAATGCTCTTGGTGTTTTGTTCATGAAGTCCTTGCCTACTCCTATGTCCTGGATGGTTTTTCCTAGATTTCCTTCTAGGGTTTTTATGGTGCCAGGTCTTATGTTTAAGTCTTTAATCCATCTGGAGTTAATTTTAGTGTAAGGTGTCAGGAAGGGGTCCAGTTTCTGCTTTCTGCACATGGCTAGCCAGTTTTCCCAACACCATTTGTTAAACATGGAATCCTTTCCCCATTGCTTGTTTTTGTCAGGTTTATCAAAGATTGTATAGTTGTATGTATGTTGTGTTGCCTCCGGTGCCTCTGTTTTGTTCCATTGGTCTATATCTCTGTTTTGGTACCAGTACCATGCTGTTTTGATTACTGTAGCCTTGTAGTATAGTTTGAAATCCGGTAGTCTGATGCCCCCGTCTGTGTCCTTTTTGCTTAGAATTGACTTGGCTATGCGGGCTCTCTTTTGGTTCCATATGAAGTTCATGGTGGTTTTTTCCAGTTCTGTGAAGAAAGTCAATGGTAGCTTGATGGGGATAGCGTTGATTCTGTAAATTACTTTGGGCAGTATAGCCATTTTCAAGATATTAATTCTTCCTAACCATGAACATGGAATGTTTCTCCATCTGTTTGTGTCCTCTCTGATTTCGTTGAGCAGTGGTTTGTAGTTCTCCTTGAAGAGGTCTCTTACGTTCCTTGTGAGTTGTATTCCAAGGTATTTTATTCTTTTTGTAGCAATTGCAAATGGCAGTTCGTTCTTGATTTGGCTTTCTTTAAGTCTGTTATTGGTGTAGACGAATGCTTGTGATTTTTGCACATTGATTTTATATCCTGAGACTTTGCTGAAGTTGCTTATCAGTTTCAGGAGTTTTTGGGCTGAGGCAATGGGGTCTTCTAGGTATACTATCATGTCGTCTGCAAATAGAGACAATTTGGCTTCCACCTTTCCTATTTGAATACCCTTTATTTCTTTTTCTTGCCTGATTGCTCTGGCTAGAACTTCCAGTACTATATTGAATAGGAGAGGTGAAAGAGGGCATCTTTGTCTAGTGCCAGATTTCAAAGGGAATGCTTCCAGTTTTTGCCCATTCAGTATGATATTGGCTGTTGGTTTGTCATAAATAGCTTTTATTACTTTGAGATACGTTCCATCGATACCGAGTTTATTGAGGGTTTTTAGCATAAAGGGCTGTTGAATTTTGTCAAATGCCTTCTCTGCGTCAATTGAGATAATCATGTGGTTTTTGTTTTTGGTTCTGTTTATGTGGTGAATTACGTTGATAGACTTGCATATGTTGAACCAGCCTTGCATCCCCGGGATGAATCCTACTTGATCATGATGAATAAGTTTTTTGATTTGCTGTTGCAGTCGGCTTGCCAATATTTTATTGAAGATTTTTGCATCTATGTTCATCATGGATATTGGCCTGAAGTTTTCTTTTCTCATTGGGTCTCTGCCGGGTTTTGGTATCAGAATGATGTTGGTCTCGTAAAATGATTTGGGAAGGATTCCCTCTTTTTGGATTGTTTGAAATAGTTTTAGAATGAATGGTACCAGCTCCTCCTTGTGTGGTAGAATTCGGCTGTGAACCCGTCTGGACCTGGGCTTTTTTTGTGTGGTAGGCTCTTAATTGCTGCCTCAACTTCAGACCTTGTTATTGGTCTATTCATAGTTTCAGCTTCCTCCTGGTTTAGGCTTGGGAGGACCCAGGAGTCCAGGAATTTATCCATTTCTTCCAGGTTTACTAGTTTATGTGCATAGAGTTGTTTGTAAAATATTCTCTGATGTTGGTTTGAATTTCTGTGGAATCTGTGGTGATTTCCCCTTTATCATTTTTTATTGCATCTATTTGGTTGTTCTCTCTTTTCTTTTTAATCAATCTGGCTAGTGGTCTGTCTATTTTGTTGATCTTTTCAAAAAACCAGCTCTTGGATTTATTGATTTTTTGAAGGGTTTTTCGTGTCTCAATCTCCTTCAGCTCAGCTCTGATCTTAGTTATTTCTTGTCTTCTGCTGGGTTTTGAGTTTTTTTTGATCTTGCTCCTCTAGCTCTTTCAGTTTTGATGATAGGGTGTCAATTTTGGATATCTCCATTCTCCTCATATGGGCACTTATTGCTATATACTTTCCTCTAGAGACTGCTTTAAATGTGTCCCAGAGGTTCTGGCACGTTGTGTCTTCCTTCTCATTGGTTTCGAAGAACTTCTTTATTTCTGCCTTCATTTCGTTGTTTACCCAGTCAACATTCAAGAGCCAGTTGTTCAGTTTCCATGAAGCTGTGCGGTTCTGGATCGGTTTCTGAATTCTGAGTTCTAACTTGATTGCACTATGGTCTGAGAGGCTGTTTGTTATGATTTCAGTTGTTTTGCATTTGTTGAGCAGTGCTTTACTTCCAATTATGTGGTCAATTTTAGAGTAGGTGTGATGTGGTGCTGAGAATAATGTGTATTCTGTGGATTTGGGGTGGAGAGTTCTGTAAATGTCCATCAGGTTTGCTTGCTCCAGGTCTGAGTTCAAGCCCTGGATATCCTTGTTGATTTTCTGTCTGGTTGATCTGTCTAGTATTGACAGTGGAGTGTTAAAGTCTCCCACTATTATTGTGTGGGAGTCTAAGTCCTTTTGTAAGTCATTAAGAACTTGCCTTATGTATCTGGGTGCTTCTGCATTGGGTCCATATATGTTTAGGATCGTTAGCTCTTCTTGTTTTATCGATCCTTTTACCATTATGTAATGGCCTTCTTTGTCTCTTTTGATCTTTGCTGCTTTAAAGTCTATTTTATCAGAGATGAGAATTGCAACTCCTGCTTTTTTTTTGCTTTCCATTAGCTTGGTAAATCTTCCTCCATCCCTTTATTTTGAGCCTTTGTGTATCCTTGCATGTGAGATGGGTTTCCTGGATACAGCACACTGATGGGTTGTGGATTTTTATCCAATTTGCCAGTCTGTGTCTTTTGATTGGTGTATTTAGTCCATTTACATTTAGGGTTAATATTGTTATGTGTGAATTTGATACTGCCATTTTGATGCTAAGTGGCTGTTTTGCCTGTTAGTTGTTGTAGATTCTTCATTATGTTGAAGCTCTTTAGCATTCAGTGTGATTTTGGAATGGCTGGTACTGGTTGATCCTTTCTATGTGTAGTGCCTCTTTTAGGAGCTCTTGTAAAGCAGGCCTGGTGGTGACAGAATCTCTGAGTACTTGCTTGTTCGCAAAGGATTTTATTTTTCCTTCACTTCTGAAGCTCAGTTTGGCTGGATATGAAATTCTGGGTTGAAAGTTCTTTTCTTTAAGAATGTTGAATATTGGCCCCCACTCTCTTCTGGCTTTTAGTGTTTCTGCCGAGAGATCTGCTGTGAGTCTGATGTGCTTCTCTTTGTGGGTGACCCGACCTTTCTCTCTTGCTGCCCTTAGTATTCTCTCCTTTATTTCAACCCTGTTGAATCTGACGATTATGTGCCTTGGGGTTGCTCTTCTTGCGGAATATCTTTGTGGTGTTCTCTGTATTTCCTGCCATTGAGTGTTGGCC